CACCAACCGTTTCCCGCAGCGGGTTAGGACACGCATTAATACGGCTACACGCACCCCGGCAGAGGAGTGTGTGCGTCACGGCCACTCCCACCGACGCCGCGGCCCAAAAATAACTAGGCGCCCCACAAATCGCTCCCCCTCGCCCTCTCTCTCTCTCTCCCCCTCCGTCCTCTGCCCCGAGATCCGCCCCGCGACCCCGTCACCCCGCCCCGCCCCGCTCGCCCCTCTCCGGCGCCGATCCCCCGACCCCGCCGCCCATTTCGGCGCCCACCGGTGCTCGTCCCCCACGGCTGCACGTGTCTGCTCCGGCCTGCTTTTGGCAGCCGATCGATACGGCGCCGCGCCCGACGTGCCGGACGGGCGGTTGCTGCTCGCCGGAGGAGGCAGCGAGGGCCGTCTGCGGCCGCGTTTCTCTCGCGAACGTCCCGGCGCTTTCGTCGGTGGTGGACCGACGGCGAGGGAGGCCTTGTGCGGTGCTGCATTGGGTGGGAACGGAGCCAGAGCCAGGCGGGCTCCTCGAGGCGGCGGCGGATTTGAGGCTCGGATGCTTGCTGCTGCTGCTGCCAAGGCTCTGCTCCCGTCGTTCCATGGTTGTTGATGGCGTGGAAGGCGGCCATGGGGGGTAAGGCGGCCGGCATCGGAGGCGAGAAGCTCAAGTGCCCGCCGTCGTCCGCCGCAAGGTCGCGGATGAAGCTCTGGATGGTGCGCGCCACCACCACCGTCCTGCTCTGGACCTGCGTCATGCAGCTCACCGCCGTCGGCGAGACGTGGGGGCCCCGGGTGCTCAAGGGATGGCCCTCCTGCCTCACGGCCCCCGAGGAGGCCGCCGCCGTGCGCCCGGCCGTCGTCGAGAGGGCCGCGTTGCTGCCGCCCAAAAGTGAGTCCGATTCTTCGCTCGCTCGCTCTCTCGCTTTCGCTCGCCCTGTTCGATCCGCTCCGTGTCCGAATGCTGTTCCTAGGACATCGACAGGCCGCCAGCATTTTGGTCTGGTACATCCATCCAAAATCTCCACCGTAGATTTCACCGACCTGGGATGATAAAGATTGGTGGTTGGCGTAGATTTTGCTCATTTTCCTGCGCTTGCAAATTTGCGTAATTTACCTCGGGTGACGCGGATTCCATTCCGTGGTAATCTTGTAGAAACTGGGCAATGTAGGATCTCCTTTCGATTGGTGCCTAGGTGGGTCAGGAGGAGTCTTCACTATTCTGGTCGTTCGCAGCCTGCACGATAGATTCATGTTTTGGGTTCTTTCCATGTTAGGATCACACTTTTTAGGTTGGTTGAACCTGAATACTTGAATATGCTTTTACTGCTGGCAATCATTCATGACTCCAACCGATGTTTTGGTCCCTCATAATTATGCCTATCATTTTTCACATCGATAGAAAAGGAATGCCCAGCTGCTTTTGAGTAACTGAAGCAACGTTTTGTGAGCTAACTGTATTGGAACTTTTGTGCGTAGCATTCACGTTCTGTAGGCTAACTGTTGGTATGTTCAGTTAGATCATGGCGCTTCGACGTGTTTGCAAACTGTGTCCTCATTCATAATTATGAGTCTTTTCCAGCATGGAAAGTTACATTTATATGACTCGAGGGACTGCTAAAGTATGCTCGATTTTCCTGTTGCCACAAATACTCAGTGTACATCACCGCATTAATATTGCTTTGTTTGTTATTAGTACAGCCTTGCCTTGAATATTTAAGCACCTGCTATATCTGTGCTAATGTTTTATTGCTGTCATCATCTTGCAGGAATTTACAGGAACAATGGTTATTTGATGGTCTCATGCAATGGTGGTCTTAACCAAATGCGAGCTGCTGTAAGATATTGGAAATCTCTGTTCATAATTTTTGTAATAAGTGATGTCCTTGGCAACCATTGACTCTTAATATTGGTTTCTTTTCTGTTTTGTTCTATTAGATATGTGACATGGTTGTAATAGCAAGATATTTGAATGTCACTTTGGTGGTCCCAGAGTTGGACAAGACTTCTTTTTGGAATGACCCGAGGTACAGTTTGACACCTTGATATTAGTTTCATTTGCCTGTTTTTTTTTCTTGAACTATCAGCGAGCTTTGCCTTTAATGTTGATCCATTCTGCACTGCAGTGAGTTCCAAGATATATTTGACGTTGAACACTTTATAACCTCCTTGCGAGACGAAGTTCGCATCTTGAGAGAACTGCCTCCAAGGGTAAAGCGAAGAGTTGAACTTGGTATGTTCCACTCAATGCCACCCATCAGTTGGTCTGATATCTCCTATTACCATAATCAGGTATGCTTCATGTCACATTATGCTAAGGCTGCTTTGGAGCATAATATTGAATAAGCTAATGGTTGATTAAATTTGATCCAGATTCTTCCATTGATTCGGAAACACAAGGTTCTGCATTTGAATAGAACTGACGCTAGGCTAGCAAACAATGGTTTACCTATGGAGATTCAAAAACTGAGATGCCGAGTAAATTATGCCTCTCTAAGATTTACCGCCGAGATTGAAGATCTGGGCAAGCGTGTAATTAGAATACTTCGCCAAAATGGTCCTTTCTTGGTACTTCATTTACGTTACGAAATGGATATGCTGGCTTTCTCTGGTTGTACTCAAGGGTGCAGTAACGAAGAGGCAGAAGAGCTCACAAGAATGAGGTGAATATTTTGGTATTATTATACTCCTAATTTAGTTCTTAGGACAACACCTGTTCGTAGAGTGGGCCGTTAAAACATTCAATTAGACATGCTCTTACTACAGCTGTCAAACTATTGTTGTCCTTTTAGGTATGCTTATCCATGGTGGAAAGAGAAAATCATCGACTCGGATTTGAAAAGAAAAGATGGATTTTGCCCATTGACGCCAGAGGAGACCGCTCTTGTTCTCAGAGCATTGGACATCGATAGAAGTATGCAAATATACATCGCAGCTGGGGAAATATATGGTGGAAAACGCAGGATGGCAGCTCTCACTTCAGCTTATCCGAATGTGGTATGGACACAGGGCACATGTTTATCTGTTTATCACACTTCTATTATCTGGAAATGTCTTGCCTCTTCTTGTTTTCCTCCTTGCTGATCATATTGCCTTAAAAATGATTTACAGGTGAGGAAAGAGACACTTCTGGAACCTTCTGATCTAATGTTCTTCCAGAACCATTCGTCCCAGATGGCTGCACTGGACTACATGGTTTCTCTAGAAAGTGATATATTTGTTCCAACATATGATGGCAATATGGCTAAAGTTGTCGAGGGTCATCGCAGGTATGCATTCCACTTGGTCATACATTGCATATTTTCTCTCATAGCAAGTTGTGTATTTATTCCGATGTGTTACTTACATGTCACTTGCTGAATGCAGGTTCATGGGTTTCAAGAAGACAATCTTGCTAGATCGAAAACTCATCGTCGACCTAGCAGACCAGTACAACAACGGCTCGTTGCGATGGGATGAGTTCTCTTTGCTGATCAAGGCTGCCCACGCAGGGCGGATGGGATCAGCCTCAAAGCGGACAGTGATTCCCGACAGACCCAAGGAGGAGGACTACTTCTACGCGAACCCCCAGGAGTGCCTGCAAGACCCCGACCGCCTACGCACGTCATGATAACCGCCGCCACCCCTGTCAATATTTCCACCCACCTTATACCATTCTTTTCACAGACGCAGCAGCCGAACCAGAGGCCAGGTTCGTCGTTACTTCGAAGAAACCAACCGAAAGAGGGGCGGCTCGGCTCGCCATAGGTGTAAAACTCGGGGAGGGGGTGGGCGTGGGTGTTGTATATCTTGGATGTAGCTGCCTAGCTGGTAAATACTCTACACGTTATAGAAATGGAGGGCGGTTTATTCGTTCGTTCCACGGAAAATAATGAGGAGTCATACTGAAGATACTCTTGTATAGAAGATGGTGATGATAGAGTCTACTACCACGAAGAGGAAAGGTAAATTTGAGTGAGGGGAGAGATGGCTGGACCCACATGTCTGTCTCTGGCTGGTCTTCTTTTGGTTGTGTAAAACATACTAGCAGTTGTTCTTCTCCGTAGCCTCCCCCGTGCTCCCTCCCCGTCAGTCAGGCAGGGCTTATTTTTTTGTCAATCAAAGTTGCTGAGAGTTGTATACTACAGTGTTTATATTGGATCGATGTGGTTACCTGTGCAGAATGTCGCTCGCCACTTGGTACAGTTTTATTGATCCGTTGGTGCATCGAGCCCTTACATGGGGCTGATGCTCACGTGACCATGTGATGTGAGCTCGTGATCTGCGCCCTCATGTCGTACGATCAGGAACTTAGGATATTCATGTTTGATGAACATTTGTTCAGGACTCGAGAGCGGATTTTTCATGTTCATTGTGGTGCTGAAATGTTTCTTCAGTTGCCATGTTGATTTTCCGTTTGCGGAGCTGCATTACTCCTCTTGAGGCATTTTTTTGTGTTTCTTTTCTTGTTTGCTGTTCCTGAGATTCAGAGGGTTTTTGTCATTTTTCCTTGTCTCGTTGGCTCTTGTTGCCAGTGGCTGCTGCGGACTGAATCAAGAGATAAGAGAAGGATGTTCCACCGAGCTCTCTCAGAGCTCACGCACTCTCGGCCGTTGGATCGGTTCGCTTGATGGAATTCAGGCCGTCGGATCGAGCCGCTGGATGACCTTGTCCGTCGGATCAAAGAAAAGTTACTGCTGAAATGAATAGTTACCCTGTTTCGTGCCACCGCCTGTAAAATTGGGTGGCCGCCGAGGGCATTTTCGTCATTTCACTCGCAGGGGTATAAATCACATTGGCTCCTCTGGAGATGACCTAGCCGCCGCCTCCTCCCGCACTCGCGCCCCCTCCCCTCTTCCCAGCCGCGGCTCCCCACCCTCTTCCTCTCGCCCCCGCACCGCCATCTCTGCCTCCTCCCTCCTCCGGCCACCACCTCTGGCTCCTCCCCTCTCGCCGCTCGTCCTCCTCCTCCCGCTTCTCATCCCCGTCGCGCCTCCCTCCTCCTCCCCACGAAATCGCAGGCGGCCCTCCCTTGTGCTAGCCGCTCTCGGTGATGAAGGGCGGCGGAGCCAGGAGCAGCAGCGGCGGGTTGATGCGGATGCGGCTGCGGCTCCCCTAGTGCTCCTCTCGTGCTCCTCTCGTGCTCCCTCTTCTCATCGACGGCTTCTTCGGCTCCCTCCTCTTGGCCCAGATAACATGGCCGGTGGCGGTGGCGGTGGATGTGGGGATCATGAACATCACCCTGTAGAGAGGATCGACGATGGCATGGGGTGGTTGCTCCAGCTGTTGTTGTTGCTTGGGGCTCAGGGTCGGTGTCGGCGTGCTGATCTTAGCACCCCTGACCTTCCTCGTGCAAACCCTAGGCTTCCAGCATGGATTGGTGGTGGCGGCGAAGGGAGGAGGCATGGACTGGGACGGGGTTGGGTGAAGGGGAGGCTACACATGGTGAGGGGTGGCAAAGATCTCATCCTCTCCATACTCCAGCTTCCACTGCACACTGGTAGCCTCTTCTTTCTTTCTCTTATCTCTATTTTACTTTGTGCTTACTCTGTTGTGCTTGATTGCTTGCTACTTGCATTGAACATCAATGAATGCCACTATGGCAGCAGGGAGTAGTAGCAATAGGTCAGCTCTGTCCCAATTGCAAATTTCTTTGTTATTGTGTACTGATATAAGCAATGAATCTTTTGGATGACCTTGGTGATTTCAGAATCTGAAGTGCCATATTTAGTTGCACTGAGAGAGAGAGAGAGGGAGAGAGAGTGTGTGTGGGTGATGTTAACCACAGTTTCCTTTTGTTATCCAGATTGGAATTGGCCGAAAGAATGATGTAGACTTAATAGTCGTCTGTTCTATTTGTTGTTAATGCCAGTTCCACACATGTATGTCGTTGATCTAGCTATTAGCATTATGGTGGCATACTTATGTATGTTATTTCTATTTGCAATGTTGCCCATTGGATGGCAGTGATTGTGTTGCTTGCACTGTGCTCGGGGTTCATATATTTTGCCTGAATGTTGTCGTGCCCCTCCAGAGTTATTTATCCATGTCGTTGACTGCCTCTGTTATGATAGTTCTTTAACAAAGTGGTCACATTCCACAGGAAGAAGAACCCGTAGTACTATGAAGTTTCCGCCAAGAGAAACTACAACTTTGAGAAGCACTTCCTTTACCTTGCATGGAAGCTGGTTAGGTCATTGTCTCTCTCCCACATTGCTTTCTTCGGAATTGGCTGGCCTACCTTATGGGTATCCATCTCAGGTGCTCTTCTTCGCCGTCCACTCGAATTCGATGTACCACATGCCCTGCAGTTAGCAATCTTTCTATCTTTTTAGGAGTCTTGATGTGTTATTTTCTTCGAAATGGATGATTTGTTTATGCATGTTTGATAATCTGCTTTGAAATGTACGACTTACTGCTTATTAGATTGGATTATACATGTTTGATTCTCTGCTTTGAACTGTACGAGTACCTGCTTATTAGCCCTGGAAAATGAATGGCTTCGATGGGTGCATGTGTGGTCAAGGGATGGTTTGGTTCATGCATCGTACTTACACTGTGTTATTTGTTGTTGATTTGTAGCACAAGCTGACATTGTTTAACATCTTAGGTGGATGTGCTTGGCCAGAAGAAGGAATGGACGCCATCAACCTCGCCCGCTTCTGCACAACGCAGGTATAGCGAATCGTCCTCCCTTCTAAGTTGTTTCCATATAATTGGATGAACACCCGCAGTTCAGTTTGGGCTTGGGCAGTGTGTGTTCTTCTCGAATGCTTACTCTTGATGCTTCGTGTGATTCAACATCGATATTTTGTTCCTATTGATTTACATGTTATACTAATAAAACTTTAGTTATCAAGGGTGTATAATATCTTGGAAGCTTAGTGTTGTAATTGAATGTCCTTCTGCGTTTAAGCTAAAAAATGTTCATCTGCATTGATTCATTTTTAGTTGAGGATGAAGGAGCAACAAGCTCATAGTATTTGTATGAGGATAAGTTTGTTTTGTCGTCACATGCTCATTCAACATCAGATGGTCTATTTTAGCATTGTTGGTTCATATTGTTTAAGGATGTGTCTATTTTGCCAGTACTGATATATCCTTAAGCTCCTATCTGATTAAGGATGTGTTTCTCTTGGTACTGCATGTCCATGCTAATTGAGCTTTCTTGGCAGGCGAAGAGTCCTCTCGCGCCCTGGACTTTAATTTAGTTACCTCTCGTTCGTGCCACCACGTGTAATTCCAGTGACCCACCGAGGGCACTGTAGCCGGCCGGTCGGAAGCCATTCTTTTTAGGGCGATGATGATTAATCATGGCTGAAATAAGTGTGCCTTTGAGCAATTGAGGCACTTGTGGGTATCAAGTTGGATCCTCCCTGTTGTCTCTAGGATCCTTTTTGATCTTGTGATACATGTTGTCCTGTCCTTGGATGGTCATTCTTGTTGAGTGATAACCAGGGCAGCTCCACTGTGTAAACAGATTGATCTGATGATAAGAGATGACGGGGGTAGGTTATATGATCAAGAAAAGGAGAATCTGAGCCCACTATGCAATGAACCTTGAACCCTTTTATTTGTATTTAAAGGTGTTGCTTATTTATGCTCCAGTGTTTATAGTTGTCTTCTGCAAAGATTTCTTGTCTCTCATACCTTTATTGCATTTAAGTTGTTCTTGATCTTTTATTGTTTGTTTTTGGTCCTTGATTTAATCTGGTTAAGTAAGTTGCACTTTGTTATACTAGAAAGACTCGCTCCCAGCAAGTTAACAGTTGAATGGCTTATTTTAATTCAGTGTGATACTATTACTTCTATTTTTCCACAAGTTACCAGTTGCAGCTATTTTTTCTCACATGCTACAAATAATAATGCTACATGATTTTTTGAGTGTTATTTGGAGATAATGTTGGATTGTTCATGTAAAGGGTGTCTGAGGTAGCATGTCCCATGTTGTTGTCTGCATCCATAGACACCTTTTCGACTGCTGTGATTAAGTTGTTGGGTTAATCCGAGCCATTGAGCAGCCATTTCATTTTGTTTTCTTTAGTTTGTGCTGAAGCTTTCCCCAATTCTGTCTGTCACCCCTGCATTTTTTGGATCACATACCAGACTAAATGTAGTGAATTTTGAAGGATGTGTGTTTTGTTGGCTTTGTAATTTATTTCCTTGCTAAGTAAGCATTTGGGGTTATTTTGTTTTGTTGCTACCTTCTGGACGACGGGCGGGCGGGCGGATCTATGGACGGCATCACCACAACCATATTCTGATGGTCTAATCTCGAGGTGAAAATACTCTCTTTGTCTCTCATTTATGTTAGTTGAATAGTTACTTGATTTGATGTTGGTTAGCGTACTGCATGCTATTTCTAATTTTTGTTAGTCCCATTCGCAACTACAACTTGCATGATAAGGACAATCGGATAATTCTAATTTCTATTTTTTGTTAGTCCCATGGATGGTAACAATCTTTTACTATTTCTTGTTGTATGTTATCGTATAGTGCCTCCCTACTTGCTCAAAATCAAATGTACATCTATGAGAAGGTACAAATTAAGGTTGGTACGATGGAAGTAGATTGGCATGTTTGCAGAAAAAATAGCCATGTAAGTTAAAAAGAACGTCTTTAACTATTGCT